TTCCCTTTTTATTCGTCGTTTTCATATAAACTGTCTGTTCGTAGAATTGTTGCTTTCTGGGCTTTCAATCACACAAAGTGAACCATCATGCGCACATCTGTTCATAATTCATTTAAGACAATCACCTAAAAACAATCGCCAGTCTGTCGACAGCGACACACATGGTAGCCCAAACAGCGAGGTTGGACGAAGCGGAGACCACAGGTAAATAGACGAATACGTCGAACTGCAGCCAGCCATTTTCACACCAGAAAACACCTCTAGCTAGACCGGAAAACAGAAGCATGACGCAAGTGACGAGATCGGCAGCTGCAAGAACTGTAAAATTCGTTTAATTTATTATCCTCCATTTGTCAAACAATCGTTATAGTTCTTTCTTTCAGAGAATTTGATTTTAAATTAGGTATATTAATTTTTCGAAAACTATACAGGGTAGACCGATAATTTCGAAAATTTTCATTCCCCTCGATATTTTTAGAGATATGGAAATTGTAAGATAATGTGATAGTCACTAGTGACATACTAGTAACTTTTTTATGGACTAGGGATTTTCATAGATGTCAAAGTGCCGCCATATTTTTAAATCACATGCTATATTATAGTTCATCGTAGATGGAATAAAGATAATTCGTGTTTCATTAATATGTTATAATAAATTGAAACATTAACCTGTAATGTAAATTATGCTATTATAATAGTAAAATATAAGAATAAAGAGGAATAAACACAGAATGATAAAAATGTATAAAATATAAAATGACAGGAAAATAAAAATATAATAAATAAAATTAAATTAGATTAAATAAATTAAAAATGTAATAAATGCAATAAAATAAATTGAATTAAGTAAATTAAAAACATAAATACTATTGTAATATTTCAATTACTTGTAATACAATGTTATTCAGACAATCAACAAAGTAGTATAATAATTATTATTGTACACGTGGTATCGAAAAATGTCTACTGAAATTTCTGCAATATTACAATTATTGTTAAAATCAAAATTGCACATGATTATAATAATTTTTGTTCAATATCTTCTTACAAATATCTTCGACCTTGAAATCTTCGAAAATTTTCCACCCAAAGTAAAATGATTAAGAACATTATGGTTTTCTCCAACTTTTGTAAGTAAAGAATTTCCATATACGAAGAAATTAGTGAAGTTAATCATAGTAATCAAAATTATCGGTCCATTAAATGTATTGGGGGTCTCAAAATTCACGCGAGAAATAATTTTGATAGAAAAGACAGGTTTTTAATTAAAAATTGTAAATATTGCTAATATTTATTATAATATTTATTTATAATAATATAATAATAAAGAAAATATAATAAATAAAATTATAACTATGGTAAATTAAAATTTTTAATAAAATAAAATCTTTCGCATAGTGCTCCATTTTTAATAACCCTAAACTGTCAGCTGTCACGTTGTCTTTTTCTTTTGGTTGTCAACACTTCACCGCACAAATGTAAAATTCAAATCTTGGGTGAATTTTGGGACACCCGGTATAGCTTGTGAAAAGTATAATCAGTTCGCTGCTCTGTTTATTTTAGAAAACAGATTCCGAATTTATTTTTACGAATATTCGATGTCAAAGGTTTCGTGAATTTCAGTATGGGGGAATTCAATTATCGATTTTGGAATTAATACTAGGATGGCGGATCCGTATTGGCAAGAACTGGGTTAAATTCGAACTGCTCGGAAATTTAATTTCAGAATTATTTAAACGAAATATTTATTTATTCAACTGTATAATGATATAATATTTAATTTTACTCCCCGATGTTTATAAATTTCGTAATTACGCAGACACGAAATTAATAAATATTTCATTAACAATCGACTATTGCAAAAAATATAATTTTCATGTTATTAATTATAATCTATATGGTAAAGAGATTTAATGACGTGAGATAAAAATAAGACATCTTTAAGATATAACGTTATAAAATTGGTTCAAAAATAAATCAAAATTGAATTTTAAAATAGCTTTGAATTTGAATTTTAAAAATAGCCAAAGAGCTTTGAATATACTTGTGGATCATTTATATTTTTAATGATGCTTCGTTTTAACTCGAATATTATGTATATTGAAAAATAATATTCGTTTTTGATAATATATATTTATCTTAATAATGTTCTTACGATATATATATAGTATGTATAATAAAATATTCCATGTACACATTATTTTCATTTTTCAAAATTTTCGCAAGATAATTAAAGCACGATTTGCAATAAAACGGAAATAATACGAGGTCACACGAGGCAAATGACTTCTGAAAAAAATAAAAATAAAAAAAAAGGGAAGAGAAAAATGGAAATTGGAACGATTTTAACTGGAAGGGAAATAATTCGAGTTTCGCAGGTGAATTTGTTGTATTAAGCTCTTAACCCTTCCGCTACTAGGGGTCACTATAGTCACTAGCCACGAGACGCCACCTATACACAACTGGTTACTATAGTCATCGGTCACAAAAATTAAGACAAGTGCTCCCGTTTCGCTTAGCAAAGAATTCTTCGCTTCGCAAAGAATTGCAAGCACTATTGTGATGTGATGTGATGTGATGTGATGTGATAATTGATTTTTCTTTTTCTTTTTCTTAATACTAAAGACTGTAATGTTTTCAGCTTTGACACGGCGCTTCGTTCAACGGGAGGGAATCCGCGATGAGGAAGAGCTCCGTAGCGAAAAGGTTAAGCGGCTTGCAGCTCAATCTAACCTGTCAAATACGTGAACACTGACGCCTTGAAATTTCCCTTGCAGAGAACGCACAGAATCAAAGCGTTTCCAATTATCCCTAGGATCGAAATTATAGGAATTGCAATGCTGTACACTGCGATGCTGTGGAAAGTGGGTTCCACTATCCAAAGGCTAATGCCGTCAAAATACGTTTTTGAAGTGGTTGACAGTGATCTGTGAAGGGATGAGATATTTTGTAAAACCACTGTTTCCAGAATTATACAGTTTATTTATAAAATAAATTAGAAGTAGAATTTTTACTGTTGTAGATTATAATTACATTAGGGTATGTAAATAAAATACATGAAATAGGAAAATGTAATCATATGAGAGCTAATATATGAATGTGTTCTGAGTGATATGTGAAATATAGAAATACAATTATATATGGATATATGTGAACTAGTGTTATATGATACTAGTATATGAAATCCTAAGAATATATTTAGAATGATGTGAAATGTGTATAAATATGGTACTTTACAAGCCACTGGAAAAATGTATGTGAAATATAAAAATCTAAACATTTAATAATATTCAAAAGCATGTACTATACTATAAGAAGCATAGAAATACAGTAATATGGTGATACAAATATATACAAAGACTATGTGGAATATATATGTATTATAAGTTTGTACAGAATGTCACATATTGATAATGTTTAGACACTGTGCAATTAGGTATGAAGAACAGGTAAAATATACAATGAATACATTGAAAATATGTTATAACAATGGAATTATTATTATTTGGACATTGTAATTCTAACTTAAGAAGATTTAAATATTTTCAAAATTATTGCTTATCATTTATTTTCAACTGTGAACATGTATGCATGTGAAATATATCAACATGTGCAAATAAGGTATACCATAAACAAAGAGGAAACCACCAACAAATCTAAATAATACCTGAAATATATAAAAGTATTATGTACTGAAAATATATATTAATAATATAAAACTATGTCAAATTACTATTTTTTAAAGTAATAACCTATGATTCATTTTATAATATGAACATATACACATTTAAAGTAACATGTAAATAAAATACAGTAGACATAGTAACACAGAAATATAGCCAAAAAATACTAGAAATATGCAAAACAATATTTTACATGAAAATATGCCATAATAATAAAAATATTAATATTTAGATACTATGTTAAATTATTATATTTTAAAGCAACGTGTAAATAAAATACACTAAATATGAAAATGCAGAAATATGCACAAGAAATAGCTTGAATATACAAAACAATATTTTACATGGAAATATGCCCTAATAATAGAACTACTATTATCTGTACGTATTCGTGAGTTAAACAATTCACCACCCACTACTTATCTTGCAGCAAATACTACTTGCCTTCTGCAAATCACCGCTATTTGTCCACTGAAATTCGCCCGACTGGTGGTCGACATTATTTCCATTTCCTGGTACACGAGAAATTTCAAGGCATTTTCTGCAATACCAAGCAAATGGTAGTTAAAAAAAGAATGATGCTCGAATAAAAGCGGAGAACAAGCGGGAAACGAGGCGAATTAGAATCGCATCTGACTTTAAGAACCGACCTGAATCGAGCGCTGATGAAACGTCGACTTTGCCCTTGCTTAATCGCGATCAAACGAACGATTCTTTTTTCTTCCTTAAATCTCAACTAAGCATTTCGATGATGAGGTGAAAAGGTTTATATTTTGGGGAAAGCACTCGAATACCATATTTTATATACCGGGCTTACTTGAAATTTTAGATTAGCCCGAATTAAAGTCCAGTGACGTAGAGATCATAAATATGTAAATATATATATATATATACACAGGATGTTTCAGATTTTAATAATTTAACACGTTCACTGCCACGCAACTTTTTACAATTTCGGTCAAGATCAAAGAAGCCAATTTGATTTAATCACGTTATATCTTCAAAAACTTTATTTATAGTATATAGTAATAATCAAAAAACTTATAATTTTAAAAAACATTTTACAAATTATCTCGTAGTTGGCGTGCAAGATTGTTTTAAAAATGATCGCAAATCATAAAAATGTTATTCCGCGTGAATAAACTTGTATAAACTTTTTCTTTTTGAATTATGCTACAGTTATACTACTGGTTTCCTCGTAGCCGTACAAATATGGCAAATAACGAAGGGACGAGATAACTCTCAATACTTAGGCGTCCTGGATAAGGAAACAACCTACTTACGAGATATCTCATAGTTGGCAGTTAATGTGTTAATTTCGTTACTTAAGATAATTTTTTAACACTCTCGATATACGTAATAAGTAAAATTCTTTTTTAAATATTCAGAAGAAAGTGAATGTATAGTGATGAAAATCAAATTCAAACCCAAGACTCTCTCACAAATTCCAGGACTCCAACGATTAATCAATTCACCTGTTAATTCACTTATACACTTAATATTATCACATAATAACACAATATTAACGAAATTCACTTTGAATACTTTTCTCTGATGTAGTCTTTTCTTCTCAGTTTACATTGTCTGCGTTTTCTAGTATGATGGAACGATTGCACTCGATTATTTCGTTTCGATCGCCCGAACGAATTGTACTGATAGCACGAGATGGAAACGGAGGTTTTAGTAACTCAGAGGAACCAGATAAATTTCTGATAATAGATAGGCAAATATTTCGAGTGAGGAATCGATTTAAATATTGTGCGTCATAGGAGATCGACGTCGTATGAAAGAAGGTTTATGAAGTGTAGTACATAAGTACTTATAAAGTAGTACATCGATAAAAGAGTTTAACTCGAGTTGATACGTATGGTGTTAAACGAATGGCATGAAGTATGAAGTATGAAACATGAAGACCAAATTACTTCAAAAGGGGCTTGGAATATTATAGGGGAATTATAGGGAATTTTTTGTAATTTTCTTCTCAATAGTTTGCTTTTTGATGTAGAATATATTAAAGTCAGTTCTTGCCTGGAGAGGAACCAGCGGTGCTCTGGATGCTAAAAATGTACGTATGTGTACATTGTAAATTAATTAATATTAGTTTTTTTAATTTGTTTTAATAATTATTAGTTGTGAGACAAAGAGAATAGAAATGTAGAGTTTAATCAATTTTAAACTGGTATATTAAAGTATCAATTGTTTGCTATTTAAATCTTTGCAAATGATTAAATTGTGTTTATAAGAACAGACTATAATATTTGATGCTTTGTTACAGAATTTTGCAGCTACCATCTTCAATGCATCCAGCAAGTCTGCCTTCATGACAGCCTACACCATAACGGTCTGCGCGACGTCGATTTTCTCCATGACTTCTCAGCAATTGCAGCAACGTTCTCTGCATCATTGATGAGTCGCATGCATTTTGGTTCCTCTGGTTACTCAATCATGTCGTAGGACGAAAGATCCAAATCGGCACGAGTGATTGGTTGTATTACGTAGAATTTTTTACGAGCATAGTGACCACGGGTATTTATTATACCCGTGTCCTTTGGATGGGAAATCATTCTTGTTACTACTTTGTCACTATGCTCTTATTTAGTAGTATGTAGTAGTAGTAATTTGTTTACTGGCCGATGTACGTCGGTCCATCATCCTGATTTGGGCAAATCGGGATTTTTATGAATAGCGTTGCGAGTAATTAATCACGGTTTGAATTAGCGTTGCGAAGAAGACCAGATCTCGGGATTTTAATTAGGGTTGCGAACAAATATTGATTTCGGTCTAAATTAGAGTTACCATAAAGTAATGATCGCGGTTGATTTAGTATTGCGAATTATAAGATCGCGATTTATTTAGTGTTGCGGATTATAAATCACAATTGATTTTGATACTTTTTACATGAATTATTGTTTCTTGTTAAATAACTATATCAGAATTTGTTGCTCGAACGAAGTAAAATTTGTTTCGTTTAAAATTATATTTGTATAAAATTTTGATTAGCTTTTGGTTAAGTTTATAGTGTCGCGACTTTTATCAATAGGGATTTTTCAGAAGTAGCTATTTGTACATATAGAGATAATAATTTTTATCAAATTCATTTCAAGAATTAGCGTTGTGTTTAATTTGTGTCGCGTTTTTTTTTTTTTTTTTTTAATTACCTTCACAGTTAGCGTTCCATTGAAATATGGTCGCGTTTTTTCGAGTAGTGTTGCGAATACGTAATGCCCAAAATTGTTCCACTGGGACTGTGGAAGAATAGTCCTGATCCTGAGGATCACCTGTTGCAGCTATGAAACTGCACATAGGTGGTCACACATTATCATCCTGGATGATGACTGCCCATTATTCCTCGTTATTAGTGTTACGAATTTTTGTATATGGGTGCATAAATTAGTATTCATTAGTTTTGTGTTCGTAATTAATACTTATTATTATGATTATTATAATTATTATGATTATTTTGAAACAATGCAAATTCGTTATGGACTTAGACCAGAAGTTGAAACCATGCAAATTCGTTCTGGACTTAAAGCAAAAGTCGAAACAATACAAATTCGTTATAGTCTCGAGACTGGCCCCTGTATAGTGCGTTCGAGGAAAGAAGGCACAACGTGTTTACATCCTCACGGCTGATTAACTCCACTGACACCCCTATGATCACAGGCAGGTGATGAAGATCAATGGCGGATCGTAGCGAGAGCGAGTGAGACAGAACAATGGCTGCATTGGCGTATTCTTCCAATCGAAATGTTAGCTATTCTGTCTGTTAATAATATTTCTACTGGAAGATAACGTTGTATGTACTCAGTGCACATAAATGACAAATATGATTATAAAATTTTACATTTTTTAAACAAACTCCTCTACTCCCCATATTATAATACTATAGTACTTATTGAGTACTATATAGTACTATATAGTACTTATATAGTACTATATAGTACTTATATAGTACAGATTATGCTATAATATAGTATAATAATATACTATTAATACTATTAATAGATATTATTGTATAATATCCTGCACCAAAAAGTTAGTACCGCTTCGCTCATCTACGGTTGGCTATTCCAGGGAGTGGTGGGAGTAGTGGAATAAGGGTGGGGGCCTCGAGCATGAATTAGTAGAATATCAGTGTGAGAGAGACCCTGTTACCGTTCGTTCCGTGAGGGACCGTGCTCCCAGGCTTAATAACATTTCGACTGAAAGACAATGCTGTTGATCTACGTCACCGTCTCCGACCAATAGCGATCGTAGGATTGCAACAGGGGTGGGGATGTAAACGCGCTGCGCCTTCTTCTCGCGGAAGCATAGTAGCTTCTACCATTATTAGTATTCTCAGTCGAATTTTTCATTAACTCACGTACTCTCAGACGATTTCCTTCGCGGATATTTTTGCACTGCAACACCAACTGCTTCTTCCTCAAGGTCTTCTTCACGGACTGGCACATGATCATGTTCGTCACCACCAAGAGAACAGCCGGTATCATACCGAACATCACGAACTGTAGCCAGTTTTGGAGGTTATATAGCCTGCAAACACATTCCTAATTCTATTCACTTTTTAGATGAATTTATGGGAAAAGTTACCGAATATCGAGTACTATACTTTCTGAAATTTGTCCCGTTGATAGCAAACTTTTAAAAACTCGTTGTGGATTAATAAAAATAATACAAAATGCATATACAATAGAAACAAAATTGAAACTCGTTATTTCTAATAATTAGTTAAAGGTAGAATGCACGATATCACAAGCAACATTTAAATACAGGGTGTCACAAAAAAGATCATGTCTAAAGGTTCATGAATTTATAACCTTCATTCTGTAATACTGATTTTAAAATATATCCTTTTCCTGTTTTATTGTTTATAATTTCATAACTGTCTATATGTATTTACTAAATATTAATTTTATATATAAAATAGACAGTGAAGAGCAAAGGGTTATAATTTCATGAGAAGAAATCGTACAATAACATTTGTGGGGTCAATATAAAGGGCACAGCCTGTAGCTTCATCCAACATAGATTATGTCACATGGTGTTCTATGACAGTGCTAATAGGAAGGGATCAATTCTACCAATAAGGGAAGCATTTCACTACTGCCATGATGTTAAAATGGTTGGGCTGGTGGAGATTCCGTCCTACAAGTTTCTCAGATGACTTCTTTCCAGCAATGCAGAGTACTTCAAACACACACCGCGCTCATAAACTAACTGTAGCGTTCTATTTCTCGAATCTCTTCGATATCCTAGAACGTTTATTACGCGCCAAATTAACATTGCGTGACTAGTTGTAATATTAAGGATCCCGAAGTGTGTATTGATAAAAGAGAGCGTTACGGATGCTTGAGTTTTGAGTATTGATTTTCAATTTCTTATATCTGATTATAGATTCCTTTGCCTTTTATCATCCTTTGGAGCTTATTTATCGTCTATAAATTGCGATATTAGAATTTTTGGAAAAATAATTTCTTAAGAGAAAATCAAGGCTACCTCG